CCTAGCAGAATTTCAGCAGAGCCTAAAAATTCCAGTCATTCACAGTCCTTGCCTCTGGTAGAAAGGAGTTCAGACTGCATCTTTGGACACGACCAGTAGTTCTCAAAAAGACAACCATTCGAGACCCTGTCACACACCCAGCTGTCTCCTTCCTGAAGGAAATGGTCACGGCAGATGCCAGGTAAACTCAGTTCCAAGAGCGGAGAGCCCAGTCAGTCCGCGACAGAGAAGGGCAGACTCTACTCCTCCATCCTGCTATAATCTGTAGCTCCTGCCAGCTTGCAGCTCCGAGCTCTTCCTCTCTTCTGCTGGCCAGAGACAAAAAGGCTGGAGCTGTCACTGAACGAACAGTGACGTAGCTGTACTGACATTGCCTAGATCTCGGGACAAACACACAGTACCACCTGGAACTTTTTGATTTCACAAGCTTATTCACTTCTCCTCATGATTTTTGCACCACAAATACCTAGATAATTTGGCTCACATTTGTAAGTATGTTTAAAATGACCAAATCACCCTTTTAAAAATTAATAAACCATCGGCAAAAATACATCCAATGTTACCTTCGAGATGCCTGTATCTCAAGGAACTGCGTCGCTTACCTTGCCAGAAGCACCTCCAGTTACATACTTATCTAAGAATACTTTTCTTTTCCAATTTTAATAAGATGCTACATCTTTTGCTCTGTACCTTGTACTCCCTGCAGTGGCTTTGCCTTTCTCCTGCAGGCTTCATTAAGCACTGTCAACCACACTTCTCTGAAAGCTCCTTAAAGCAGAAAACAAGCAGCAAATTGCTTCTCTGTAATTAGTTAAGAACTCTATTGCTCCACAAGACATGTGAATGAAACCTACTTATTGTTTCTTTGTACTTCCTCTATAACACAAATCTTAGCATGATGGGGCCAAAGTGCTCCTAGGTGTTTATTATTTACCTTTTCTAACAAAATCAGCACAGACAGCAGCTTTAAATCCTGCATGCCAAACCCCAACAGCTTACACATCCAAATATAATCCTTTACATTCAAAAGGTACTAGCCCTTCTTTGTGGGATGCAATTAGAAAGGAAATAACACATCCTGAAGTGGGCAAGGTAGAGTGAGATAAGGGAAAAAACCCCTCCCACACCCCACAAAACCCCCCACACACCAGGATGAATGGCCACCACGTGACCATTTTCACTGTACCCACAACCTGAACACCCATGTATAATCAGAAAAATGTAACGAGTATTTTCTTAAAAAGTCTGTTTTCTAGATATGACCCGCAACAAAAGTAAACACACACTTGAAACAGTTCTTTGTAGCATGTTTTTCAGTTTTATTTATAAAAACAAAAGCTCCTTTAAAGTGTAGAGTTAAAATCACAACTGTAAATTCAACCACAGCTGAATATTACTTCAATAAAATATTCCAATCACTGATGTAAAAATTAATTTGTGATCTAAAACTCAATTCAGCTGGAAGATAAACACGTACATTGCTCATTCAGCAACTATTTATCGCACACTGTAAAAATACACTAGGGTCCCTCCTGTTCATAGCAATGCCATGAAAATATATGCACATCAACTCATCTTTTAAAAATGTAATTTTATAATTATGAGTACAACAAAAAAAAATTGCCAGAAATCCACTACAGGTTTCCAAACTGCTGATGCCCCCACAGGGGGTAGTAACCGCATCATTACTCTACTTGCACGTCTTCCCTTTGAACACCAAAAAAGTGACCTTCCAAGCAGCTCTAAACTGTCTGCAATGTTTTAATTATGCCAGGCAAAACAAAGTCACACAAACAAAATAGCATGTACAAATCTGGCTGCATTATTTACTCCATTGGTCTTTCAGATCAGAACTGCATCTCACTTTGAATACTCCAGCAGACTACAATGACTGAAAGATTAATATAAGCTGAAGTAAAAACTACCAGGTCCTTCCCAAAAGGCTTGATAAGGCATTTCATTGCAAGATGTTGCGGTCCCAGTGGCATAAAGAGTAGCTTGGGAAACCGTTTTTTTTGTCCTAAACCTAATTTTGCAGCCAAGACCATTTGTGGTTTTGGGCAAATAATTTAGTTTCATTGTCACACAGGGCACCTATGGGCCTCTTAATTCCTCTTATATTCTTCTCCCATACCATGATTTTTTCCATAACCCAGGCCTAGTGTAGCCACAGACAAGGGATCTTGCACCTAAGATTTACCCAGGATTACGAACTTTGAATTCAAACTCCTAGGCACATGCACCTTCATTACATATGGTCAGGAGGTATGGTGTTCACAGCACTACAAAAAGGATTTCTGCTGCTGTAGGATCCTACTGGGCACAGATTCATAGTAGTAGGTGGTACAAGAAGGGTTAACACCTCCAAACAAGAAATACATTTAATGTGATGAAGTTTCTACGTACAGGTCAGAATCTTGACCACTTGTAGCAAAGACAGCACAGGACACAGTGAGTGAAGATCACCAAATTATACTCCTGCCTTTGGCATGAATTGGGTGTACGCGTCTGTGCAAGTCCTTTGCGTCTCTGCCTCTTTTTATACAACTGCGATAATGACAGTCATCTTTTTGACATGTTTCCAGACCTATGGATGAAAAGGCATCATTCAGGTGTTAGGTAGATATTACCATTCTCCTAAACTCCATCCCACTGTTTTATAAAATGGATGACATGTATGCCTGCTAAGACATTGCAAACCATCTCATCTTCATACTCAGGAAATAAACAGTGGAAATAATGTAGGGCAAAAGAGTTGATTATCTCAACTTTCCTTCTGGCTTACACTTTTAAACTATTTTGATGGGGACAGCTGCCCTTACCTGCAGTATTCAAATTAATCTATTTCACCAAGTCTCAAAGTACATTAAAGACATTTTAATTTAAGCACAGATAACTAGAATGGATTCTATTGCATCAGTCTAATTTGACAGTTAAGTTAGTTAAGAAGCTGCCCAATTAAGAAAAGAACATATAAACAAAGCATCTTATTAAATGTTTTAGAGCAAATATTGTAGGCAGTGTGGTTATAAAGCAGAAAACCGTATTTCGAAAGTGCTGGAAAGAGACTAGGAAAGGTGTAAGGTATTGCCCACATTTTCCAATTGCATACATAACTTGCTACATGTAAACCTATCAAAGTCTCTTATTTTAAGCACTGTTTAAAGCTCGAAAACAAAACGTACTGAGTATGTGTGAACCTCTGCTGATTTACAACAAGAAAAATAAAGTTCAATCTGAAAAAAACTGAAAGACAAATAAAGAAATGCAGTTTAAGAATGCACAGAAAGCAATAGGTATAAACACAGCAGGCAAGCATACTGTAAAAAAAAAAATCAAAAGAACACTGCTTGAGTCAAATCAGCCTTGAAAACTTAAAATTCTGTAAAAATAACTTTCCTTGAAATAAGCTTTAATGACAAAGATTATCACTGAATTGTTTTTAAAGAGCAACAAAAACGCTTAGATAAACAGTTTTCTTTCAATGATTTGCAGATCACAGTATTTTTAACTTACTCAACAACTTGAAGCTTACTAGTAAATGAAACTGAAAAGGTGGAAACCTTTTGTGTAGCAGAAGAGTTACACAGAAGAAAAGGGTAAATAAGGTGTTACATTCTAAAACTCTTTGTTGTGAAGGCTAAGGTGGTTAATGATGCCACAAGGAAAATCTGATTACATCCAGCTTTTGATAAACAAAGGGGAAACCAGACAAAATTTGCTACATTTTAGTGAAGCGTGTCCTGTTTGAAGAGCACTTTGAGACATTCAGCTTTAAGCTAGAAGTATTAACATGAGAACGAGTCCTTTTACATACTGAAAGCAAAAGTGGTTACCACTTTCTGAACAACAAAGTCACACTATACACAAACTCATTATTGTCCATGGATTTCAACAGCCAGAGAGTCCATGATAAAGAGAGAGATTAAAACGTGTACAGGAAGCCAACACTGGTAAGAACTAATGAATATGTGGTTTGATGTTCAAGTTTGGTTCCACAACATGTGACTTTTCAAGAAAGCAGAAGAAATGAAGCTCAATCTCTTTTCCTTTTTGTTTTTGGCATCACCACAACAAAACAGGGAAATTGCTTAAAATTTCCTATTTGCTATGACTGGATTCAACTCATCTAACTACTCTAATACAGCAACCAAAAAATTAAGATACAAATGCATCTTCCAGAGCGCTAGCAACGTAAGATAAAGGATTTCATGTAGCTACTTGAATTGGTAACTAGGCTATAGTGCCTTGATATAGAAGGGTTCCTATGTGTCTGTCATTAAAAAGCAGATTCTGTATAAGGAATTAACTCCTGAATTGTTACTTTTTTTTTTATTGCTATTTGTAATTTAATCTCTAGCAGATTTGCAAACCAGTTACCTTCAATTAATTTTAAACACCTACCCTGACAAACACAGCTTTAAAAGCAAAAGCTATAAAACAACTTGGTTCCAAAACACTCATCATGAAAAACATAGGGAATAGCTTTGCTTCTTTTCACTTTTTATTTTTTTGATGGACACAAACAGGCAAAAGGCATTTTGATGCAGAATAGCTTGGCCAGTTTTCAGCTGCTCATTAAAAAAAGCTTACTGGATTCTCAAACCAGCTACAGTGATTTTAGAGCCTTGGACTAATCAGGATCTTCAGTTTAGACCTTTAAATATTGAATAAACAAAAATGAAGAGCACTCTGTTGTAACTTGGTTTCAATGCTGGTTTCAACACATCTACCTTACACGGAGAGTAAACATGCTCTGATCTGGTAGGCTCATCGCCATAGGTTCTTAAACACTGCATCTCCTCAGGCTCTTACTTGCCAAGTTCAAAACAAAGAAAACCCCAAACCAAAAAAATGTATTTTGCTCAGCATTGAGCAGTCAGAAGTTAGAAATATAAGCCATTCTGTGTCAAGTCTGTGAGGTCAGGAAGGAAAACAGCCTCCCAAGTGAAAGATTGTCTTCAAAGTCATGCCAGGAGTGGAGGGGTAATGGAGGAAGATTTAGTTTCACATGCGTGACTGCTCATGTTGGGAAGAGATAACCAGAGAGATTCAATGCTAGCATGTAGCAAAGCCAGAGTAAAGAGAATGGGAATTACACCAAGCAGTTTTACTGACACAAGTGCTGATGTCTTCAGCATTGCAGGAGGGGAGATGATTTTCCCTTGTTTTCCATATTGTCATCAGCCATTGCAGCCTCACAACTTGCTTCCCTGATGTCACATGTAACACAGCCCTTTAAAAAAGAACAAGAACATAGTAATTTAAATTCTCCTTTTTATGAGTGTATTTCAGAGTCAAATCCTGATAGCATGATACGTTGCAATCTCTTGAAACCTCTCACCAATGGGCTGGAATCTCTCTAAAAGCAGAGATTATACAGGTATCTCATTTTCAGAAGCAGGTACTTCTCCAGCTTCTCTTGTCTTAGAAATGCATCCTTTGCTTAGTGGTACATAGAGTTTTAGATTTGAGATGAAAAGGCATGGGACTTCCTTGAGTTTGAAAGCCTTATCTTTCAGCTTTATAAGCAAACTGCTCATTAAGGACTTGGACTGCAGACTTAACAGCAACAATATTGACCAACAAAAACAGGCTGAAATGCCTGAGTGTATTGACAGACCCTATTTTTCTTGTTCTTGACAAATGATACGACAGTGAAATAGAGTATTAAAACAGAAATCCTGCATTTGTTTCTACTGTCAGAAGCCTGGCTGCATTCGTAAAATGACAATCTATATTGGAAACATGACCTACTGCTTAGGAACAGTTTTAGCACCTTAGATACCAAATATCTATACTTGCATACCAATGCATCTCACAACATTTGAGATGCAAACATTCAACAGAATTTTCTGCAAGACCACTGGACATCATTTTGCTATCTGAATCAAACACTTCGTCCTAACCACAGTAGGACTTGATTTTTACCAGCAAGGTGTTAGGAAAACAAAGACTAATTTTCTGGTCTTGTTCCAGAGCCAAGGACATAGATTTCTCAAATTTCTGCTCCAAGAGAATAAATACCACAGCTCAGAATGCCACATTTGAAAATCCTAACACACAGAGCATGCAGTGCTTTAACAGACATTAGATTTTTCTGCTGCGTGAGTACATGAATGCAGCCCACTCTGCCTTGAAGTTTTCTGTACAACTCATCATTGGAGCTCTAGATCTCTGCGGGACTAGTTTTGCCTTGCTCTCTCCTTCTCCATAGCACCTGGGAGCACTTTAAACTGATTAGGACATTCTCTAACACACACTAATATCAGAAGCAGTTTATCAGCATCCCCAAGAGTTATACCAGATAAAATAATCAGGCATAAGATACCAAAATTCTTAAAGAACAAATCCACCTACAAAAAGCCCGGTAGTTTTTTGTTTCATACTATATGCCTGAGCCACCCCTGTGATTATGGGCATTTTTCAGCTCGCTGCACACACTTGCTCTAATCTTCACTAACGTCCCAGTGTTATATACTATTCAATCATAGCAACAATCAACTTTCTAAGAAAAAGAGCAAATGACCCAACACCAACAGAAAAAACGTCACTAGATATGGACTCTTATGTGAGAGCGTGACACTACTCCTGTTCATCCCACAGCGTGACTGGAGAAACTTTGCTACAGGTGGTTCCTACACAGAATTTGCGCATCTTGCAAAAAAATACAATGGAAAGACCTGTATTTTGGCATTTCTCATTCATCTAGTGTACTCAAGCTCATTTCCTTCTTAAATTTACAAGTAATAACCATCAATGACCCCAGTACTATAAGACTGCACTGGTTAGAAATTCCACTGTCTCTGGTTAGCCAAGGCACGAATAAGCTACCGATTCCTTTCACCACTCCTTACTTGGGTGCTGATCTGCAGTGGGACAGTCTGGGTCCGGATCCACGTATGCACCTCTGCTAGCTCCTTCTTTTGCCCATCCGTAAACCGAGGCTGCTGCTTTCGCATGACTGCCAGCTTCTCCAGATCCTCCTTTAAAACATCCTCTTTAATTCTGCAGGTAACAGACACCTGTGAACACAGCTGTACTAAATGAAGCAAGACAGGCACTGATTATAAGCACATTGGGAGAGTCTCTTCACCAGTATATGCGGCTGAAGTTTAGAGAGCATCAGCCACTGAAAAGTAACTATACTTTGTTAGACCTTATTTGCTTTGTAAGGCTTCTTCCAACACTGGTCCAATTGTCAGGGGGTTTTTTTGGGTGTTTGGTATGGGTTTATTTATTTTTTTTTAAATGTGGAATCTCATTACAAAGTATATATAAGCTACTTGCAAGCAACTTGCAAATAACATGTAAATATTTTTACTCCTTTATGCATTCAAAGTACAGGACAATAACCAATCCCCTTAAACACTGCAGCAAAAAGGTTACCTGTTACTGTATTTTAACTGATGAGGGAAGTGGGGAAAAAAAAGTAGGCAAAAGGAAATAACCAGGGCTTAAAATGCACAAACAGTAAATTAATATATCTTCTTGGAGTTTTGGTGGTATGTGCACCGTTTCCATGGTCTCATTTTTAATTCTACAGTTCTACGCACAATTCCAAACTATGTGACAAAAATTGTTGGATGTTTTCCAACCTGTTTGGCATTTGGTAATTCATTAGAACTTGCTCAGGTGTGTGATCCATCATCACCCAGGCTGACTCATGTTTGGATTTATGAGCTGTCCCTTTTTCTTCTGCTTCCTCATTCTTCTTTTCTTTGGAAGCTTCGGAAGAATCATTGCTGGCAAAATACTTGCTGCTTTTCCCACTACCTGCTGAGAATTACCGTGAAAAAAAAAAAAATATGCACATGCCTGAGAAATCCTAGTAATTCAGCACAAAAAGTAAAAGAACACCAGTATATTCTTGCGATTTAGTTCTGTAATACAAACACAGGTACTCCCACATGATTGCTCTTTGCAAATAATTCCTATCTATTGAGAATTCAAAGATAAAGTGCATCCTCTTAAGTTACTCAAGTTCTCCAAAGCTCTATTTACTTTTCTCAAAATTAATTGGCTCAACTTCTCTGCTTCTGTTTCAAGAGGTCCTGCTCTAGGCAGATTTACTTTTACTCAAGAAAGATGTAAGCCAGTACCTAATGCAGAGAAAAGTGATAATGAGCAAAATGAAAGAGTGACTTACAGGTTAAAGGAATAGCTTCTTAGATTCCCATTTCCAACTACAGTAACTGAAACACACTTGGCTTCAGACACTGAAAGTTGGTGAAACTGAAAGTTGTACTAGCGATAGGACGAGAGGAAATGTCCTCAAGTTGTGCCAGGGGAGGTTTAGATTAGATATTAGGAAAAATTTCTTTACAGAGAGAGTGATCAAGCATTGGAACAGGCTGCCCAGGGAGGTGGTGGAGTCACCATCACTGGAAGTGTTCAAAAAACATGTGTGAACATGGCACTTTGGGACATGGTTTAGTGGGCATGGTGGTGTTGGGTTAATGGTTAGACTTGATGATCTTGAAGGTCTTTTCCAACCTTAATGATTCTGTGAGAAGTAAAGACTACAGATCCTCTTACTGGGATTTCCCATTCCCATTACAGTATCTTGTGACGAATTACCAACATGTTAAGCAAGCCATCTAGCACCAAAGAACCAAACATCCAAACCTCGAACTTCCCTACCTGTCCCACAGCCAGAAGTCTTGTTGGAGCCAGAACCTAAAGAACCCAAAAAAGCTGATCCACTGCCTGATACAAAAAAAACGGACTGGGAGTCCTCGTACAGCAAGCGGTCAGTAAATTGACTAGAAGCACAATGGCTAGCACTGTTACCACTATCTTCTGGATCATTGTCCTGGAGACAAAAATCAAAACAAACATATCCATGGAAGTTACATGTAAGTTTGAAAGAGGAAGTTCATGCATTTACTGAATTTGTCACGTTGACTACATTCTCATATCAGTTCAATGGGTTTGGAGTTTCTAGCTCTGAAAATGAATGGTTGTCTAGAACTCAGAATAACACTCTTCATGGGTGAAATCAACAAGCATCTGGACTCTGGTTTACTGGTTTCCGCTGTAGATCCTTCCCCACTGGGTCAAGATATTGTACTGTTAAGTTTTTTCTGCTGACAAGAGAGCAGGAGTCAGTTCCTGTCACGTCCTGTTAGACGGCATGAAGCAGCTGCACACATCAAGCAATGGTGCACTACAGGGAAAATGAGAGTATCTTCCCCTGATTCACTATGTGAAGCTCACCACTTCAGCAGCTACAGGTACACCAATTCCCCTTTCAGGACCCTACCCTGCAGTTTCAGCTGATCCGGCCTTTCCAGCCCAATCTGGATTCGGGAGCCAACATTTTTTTCCTTGCCTGCAGAGCTCAGATTCCTGCCTCTGAGTTTACCGCGGAAGTTGGAGAGGCCTTTTCTATGCCCATGTATGGAAACCGACCCACACGGATCCCTGTTCTTCGTTCATTAGCTGCATCCCTGGGAGACAGAGGGAGTAATTAGAAGCGTATCTTCCCTTTGTTTTGGTTCTCCACAGAGACTGTGGGACTGGGTGAAAAAGGATGTGAATTGTGCAGCACTAACCAAGTTTCACATGCATAAAAGCCCCAAACCCGAAATTCCTGCCAACAATTTAATTGAAAAGGCTGCTGCCAAAATGCTGAGCAAAGGCAGCTTGTGGCAGCCTAGACCAGAAGATCTCACATTTCTCTCATTTGCTAAGTGCCAGCACTGTACTGTTACATGGGTGCAAGTATAAACAGCTTTCTGTACCTCCTGTGCTATTTGTGCCCTGCAGTCTACATAGCACAGCCACTGGAAAAAGCAGCACAGTCTCGTGACCCTGAAGCACAGATCATCATCACTGGTTTTGCTGACTGAACAATGTGAAGAGTTTCTCCTCTACATCAAAAATTCATGTTACTTACACATTTAGCTTCTGCACGTGCTTTAACATCAGTACTAATGGAAAGCTCCATAGGTTTTGGCAGCTCTTCTTGAAGCAAATTCAGCTGAAGTGGGGAGCTGCTCCGTGAGCTACTCAGCAGTAGGGCCTGATAACGCTGGCCCTCTTGCTGGTCCTCCACAGAGGTGGCAGAAAAGGCTGGAAAGGGCTGATCCACAGAGTGTCGTGCTATTGGTGACGGAGCAGAAGGAGGTGGGGCTGGAGGTAGTGTAGTGCATAGATACGAAGAAGGGGGGTAAACATACTGAGGGCTAGGAAGAAAGACATACTGAGGTATCTGAGCACACACGGGGAAACTCTGAAAAAATACAGCCACAAACGTGCCTACATTTGGGGGATAAAGTGCTGGGCATGACTGTGCTTCACAGCATAGCAGTGACGATGACATGGATTCAGGTTTTAATGAGGGAAGGGCAAGTTCCTCTCCTACTGAAGAGGCTGGAAAGCTAGATAGTGGATCCAAATAGATAGGAAATCCCATAGAAGGAGGGACATTCATACTGGAGGAGCTCAGATAGGATACTTCTGAGGGAGAAAATGACTGTTTCTGAATGGTTCTCTTCTCACATGGAAGACTACGTCTATTTTTACTAGAAGAGCGGCTATCTGAGGACTGTCTCTGAGGTTTCTGGCGCTTGAATTTTCCATGTTTGTCTTTTTTACAGCTAGCTGGGCTCATCTGCTTTGAAGGGGAGTCTCCTAAGGAGGAAGAAAAATAGACACATTCACTGAAATGGCAGACCTAGGGAATTAAAAAAAAAAAAAGAGAAAAAAAGAAAAAAAAAAAAGAGGAGAAGAGAAATACATCCAGATAATGGCGTGTGGCTTATTTGGAGAGCTGACTTTCCTCTGGATAATTCTTCCATACACTACAGTGATGGATTTGCTGACATATCTACAATATTCTCCTTTAGGCAATCGATTTTCTTATCGATCATTTTGGCTTATCCCAATCAGATCTTTCACATTCCTTCAAAGGGAGGCAATAAACTACAGGGTTTATTGCAATAATAATCTGCTTTATGAAAAGCCTAAGATAGCAACACCTAAGATGGAGCAGACCTTCTGTGTGGGCAATGCTGTTGTCAAGCCTTGGCACTTCAAAGGAAGTATTCTGTTTGCAGTCGTAGTAAGATACTTGCTAAATCATCCAAAGGAGAACCAGACTCCACTGCTAAGTTGGTCTTTGTAAGTCATCTAAGTTTTCTTTATTTCACAAAGCTGCTGCCTACCTCGGCCACAGGAATGTCCGTTGTTACTTCTGCTCCCCTGTTGAAGGTAAGTCCGAAATGGAGATAGCAAAATCCTCTGGCGAAACTTGTCAACGTAGTTCTGCTCCTCCTTTTGAGTGTGGGCTGACAACGTCTCTTTTGTTAGCCCAACTGGCTTTAAGTCTTCAGACACCATAGTGAGACACTGAGCATTCACAGGAGGCAGCTCAATTTGTTCACTTCCAACAGTAGTATCCTCCATTGTAGTCACTTCTTTGAAGAGGGAAGAAAATAAATCAGTCTTTGCTCTGGCCTTCTGGTGCCAATTCCCACAACACCCAGAGGCTTACACAGAAAACAATCCTGCCTGAACTATCGAGCAGATACAAGCTGCAGAGGCGAGGGAGAAAACACCCATTACACTCAAATATAGTTACACTAACATCAGCTGAGCAAATTACTTTGCATGGTCTGAAAACTTCAAATTCACTTTGAAGTTATGGAGGCACTTCTTTCTTCATACTTTCTTAGTAAAATAGCAGTTAAATAGTCATTTTTACACTTCTTTCTGCATTAAAATGAAGTTAACACTGGCTCATTAGTAATTTTTATTTTAATCCTCACTGGCCAAAAGCACATTGTTGTGCTTGAGATTTACGTGATAAAGTTAAAGGGGAAAGGAAATAGTGTGCTCTGTTAAAACTAGGTTTTATTAAAATATTGTAAGAATTTCCAGGCTCAGGTTTTCTTCACAGTGTCCCTAGAAGTACCTTAATTCTATTTCGGAGTTCATATCCATGAGAACGTATCTCAAATGGACAAAACTTTCTCACTGTGTACTTCAGTCTGGAAACATTGCGTAAATTTAAAAATCAGTGAGCCAAGTCAGTGTTTTGCGAGTATGAACAGTACCTGATTCAGGGTGCGGGACATGCACTATAGTGCTGCTGTAACTGCACTGGCTGGTGACAGACACCACACTTGGAGCCTTGCTGGACAGGGTCAGGTCTGCCAGAGGACCTCCCACGATGCCTGTAGTTGTCTGGTCCTTCAGCGTCTCCTCCCGATCAGTAGATATTGGAGGTTGGGAATTAACTGCTGAAAGCATAGCAGTATCTAGTGGTAAATGACAAAGCTCCTACATGGAGAATTTCATCCCAAGCACTATGCTCCCAATTCATCAAGTCTGACTGGTTCAGAAACAACCAGTAACTATGCAGACTATTAAATAAGACAGTCTTACATACAAATAAATGTGACATTCATACACCAGTGCAATGTCAGCACATACTAAACATGGCATAAAATGAGTGAGCAACAGAAGATTCATTTAGCAACGACAAACACTAGTTCTTTCGATGCATTCTACATTCAAAGACTTACTATTGTAGCTTATGCTTAATTGCGAGATCTAGACAAGGTAAGCAAATATTTACCACATAACCAAAATATTTGTGCTGTTAGTGTGACAACAATTTAAGAAGTGCACAAAAACTTGGAATGTACAACAGTAGCATACAAAAAATAAATCAGTTGTTGCGGTTCTATTATGATTGCCAGTATACTTTGTGGTACCTTCCAATGCCTCGACTTCCCGCTGGCTTTGCTGGACTTGCTTTTCATCTTCTGAAGATGATGATGATGTATTTGCAGAAGATTTACATTTCCTTTTCAATGCTGGAATACTGCAGCTCTCTAGATATCTGAAATAAAAGCACATCACAGGAAGCTCTCCCTGCTTTGTGTTTTTTCTCCATCTGGAGAGATAAACATTTGAACAATCCAAACTGGACCAGGAGTTGTTAACTAGTATTTTAAATTCACTGCAGGAAGTTCTGGACACATATCTGCTTTCTAAGGAGTATTTTAAATTAAATCTATCAATTACTCTTTAAAAAAAAAAAGACAACATTATCCACTGTGCTAAAAAATACCAACACTTTATAAATTATATCAACTTTCTGTTTTATATACAGATGTTCTCAAAGCATATATTAATATGACATTGACATATTATGCCCATCTAAATTATCCTAAACTCCTATTGCACACCAATGGTGAAACTAGCAGTAGACAAACATCAACAGCTGCAAACAGAATCTTAGGACCTAAATTCTTCATTACTGTGTACTTAAGATTGACTGAGCATTAGGATGGATTGCCCAGAGAGGCAAAAAAACTTTACAAACAGTCTCAAATTTATCTCACAACTCAAACCCCAATTTAGACCAATGCAAACTGCTTGGCTATTTACCTTCCACCAATTAATCTTAAACTTATATCACTAAAATTGCTTCATAGTTTATTACCTGATAATACTATCAACACAATTGATCTGCTGATAGGAAGGAACATGCGGAGTCTTCTTTGAGTCATCATAAAATGCCTTGCCTGGTTCTTCTGTGCTATCACTTCTCAGTGTCTGAAGAAAACAGGAACCAGTGTACCTCTTCCCTAGAAAAGAAGAAATCCTCAAAGACTCCTCTCAAAAGTATCTAAACACTACACCCACCAAGACACACAGACACTTTTTTATATATATACCCACACGCATATATACTGGGATACACATATATTCTACAGGAATATATGGCCTATAACAGCACAGCTCTCATTACTAAGTTATTCTGCATTTTCATCTCAATTCACATGTTTTGAGGCAGGGGAGGGAAAAGGGGAAAGAATGGCTAAACAGCAAAAAAGCCCACACGACGTCTTAAGCATCTACTCAGAACAATTAGTAAACACAAAGAAAACAGCATAGAAAAAAAAATTGTAATTAAAGTGTAAGCAAAGCTGCAATCGTCTCTCAATTTATACATCACAGAATCCAGCCTGTTATTTAACAGTAAGTTACAACTTTTTATAGCATAGATACACTGGTCAGAGTAGTATCAACATTCACAGTGCAGTCTGCTTATCAACAAGACTAGGTGTTAATTATAATTTTCATAGAGAGTATCACAGTGCAAAATGTTTTAATACAGATTCCTATGATATTTGAGGAAGCATCCATCTTTTTCCTTGTATTTGTGCTAAGTACTAACTGCAATAATGTGCATTAGCATAATATTAAGCACTCAATAACTAAACCACTACTTGGGAAGAGAAGCAGTGTTTTCCAACCTATGGATTGTTACTGAGAGTCCACATAAAGTAACGAAGGGAAGACTACTATGGAAACTTGTACTTGCTACAAGCAAGTCTGCATTTGCACTAGAAAATGTTAAAAAAAAAAAAGTCTATTAAACCTAAGAGAGACAGATATGTTCCTCCAGATCTCAGGGAGCAGCTAAAAAGTTACTGCATCTGCTGAGGTTTTTCTGGGGTGGGTTTTGGGGTTTTTTTTTGGTTAGCTAGTTTTTGATTTTAAAAACACAAACAACAAACCACAAACGCCCCCCCCACCCCCCCCAAACAAAACACTTCCCACATTTAAGCCATGCTAAAATGCTATCTTAAGTTCTTCAGCATAACACCTGCTAGCCAAACTCATGGCTATAGATCTAGAGGCATTCACCTTAAGGATCATAATTACATTAACTTACCTCCTAGCATTTCTGAGCTCACAGCCTGTCCATTTCCATTCTGTGGCTTGCTCCTTGATGCAATATACAGCTGCTGTCCCAGATTCTTTATTCGGTTGACATCCGCACAAACTTGTTGCAATGTCATCTTGAGATATGTGAAAATGTGAAGTCAGAATAAAATGAATCAGAAGAGCCCACAGGAGACCATTAAGATGGGCTTGGGTTCTTGTATTGTCCAAACTGAAAGGGAGTAGACTGTCGGCCTAAGCCTGGTATGTATTGGTATTTGTAAATTTAATGAATCTAATTATCATGCATAATTAAATTAACTATGATAAAGCTCCAACAGCCTCAGCATTTCAATGTTTTAATACTGATGCAAGCCTTGAGAGGGGAGTAAGCTGATGATTTACCCAGGAGCCTCACAAGGGAATTAGGTAACTGCAATGCTTGTTTTAGGACAGCACTGTACCCATTCTCTTCTACAGCAGTCTACACTGTACCCCTATTGCCCTTTTTAAAACAAAACAGAAAATCCCAAGCAAAGAGAAACCCCTCCACATGCATCAATCTTCTTTCTGGTTGCATGGTTCTTCCACTTTTTTTTTCAAGTCCACTGGTCGAGAAGGCTGATCTTAAGCAAGTTTTCAATTTACTTTGGTGAACTACCATAGTAGTCATCTGTTCATTTTAGTCAGCAAAATTAAAAGTAAAAACCAAAAGTCAGTGTTCTATAATTGACCAATTTAAGTACATTTATCTTGAAAAAAGCTTTATCTTCCCACTTCAGTAAAAGTCATGATGAGTAGTGCATATGTACACAGTAAAAATTCTCATTTTTAAACCCATACTTTTGCTAACTCTGCAGGCAGTGACACATTTATAGACTTACTGGTTCCTGTATTTCCTCTGCACAATTCCCATTGGAGTCACTTGAAGATGCTATGCTGATATAGTGCTCATAAGAACCATTGCTTCCAAGGCTTCCATAACCACTGGAAACATTGCTGTGAACTGGCTGTATGAGGGGAAAAAATAGCAATTAAAAAAAAAAATCATCCTCTTAGAGAACAAGAAGAAGGGAAGAACATACTTTGCAACATAGAACTTCAAGTAAACACAGAAAATTAAGTGAAAAGTCAGTGTTGCTCTGGGCTCTACCACTTGCTTGGGAAAAATTCTCTACCATGCTTAAAGATGTTTCAGGACGCAATTTTACCTTTCAACATAAAGACTTGGCAAATATGCCAAACAAATTTTTTTTTTTTTTCTAATCAGGTGGGCTACCCAGAGCCATATTTTTAAATGCTGTCACACAAGCCTGTCTCCATTTAGAACCTTCCCTTCAGACCTTTTAAAAGGTCACCCCCAGAGCAGTCTGCTAACCAGACCCAAGTTTCTTTAGCCTCTCATTCAGAAAGCCAGCCAGTGTTTTGAAATTCTTTCACCTTCCTTACCTGCAGAAGCAGCTTGTAAATTTGTCCTTGCAATTCTCTTATCTCTTTCTCAACACCACTTGTTTCTCTACTTCTTGCAGCAAAGACATCTTCATTCAGAGGGCTTCTGGAGAGAGCCATCAAAATTTCACTATTAATTTTAATTTGATGAAGAAAAGGTAGGCTATAAACAGAGCTAGGACAGATTCATTTTTTTTATTATCATTATTTTATTTTGACTACTTCTCTGAATCAATGCAAACAGATGTCATTTGGTCCACTAGCAGCTCTGCTAGGGTATTGGAGCAGCACTATGAGAGCAGCGCTTCATGTGAAGCCCCAGAGAAGTCAGTACACCAGCATCGTGACACGAGTTAAGGTTGACAAGCATATACCCCTCTGCCTCCTGCACTCAGAAGGCAAAGTCACACCCCATAAAATCTTGAAAAAAAGATCCCGTTGAAAAAGCAAAAGGCCATCCCAAAAAGCCAATTCCTAGAAAACAAATCAGGTAAGGGGAAGGCAGAGAGTCATATTTCCAAACCTCTTGGAAACTAAGGAGAAACATCTGAAACACTTCTGAACACTGAACACTTCTCTGGAAGTGTTCAAAAAACGTGTGGATGTGGTGCTTCAGGACATGGTTTAGGGGACATGGTGGCACTGGATTAATGGTTGGACTTGATGATCTTGAAGGTTCTTTCCAACCTTAGTGATTCTGTGAAAAATTAACTTGCACGTTCAATACTAATTGCATTTTTAAAAGAGGTTACCTTGGTAAATACTTAGATTCTGTATCAAGTGAATGTTCCACAAGAAAACAAGCCAGAAGGTGATTTTGGCTACATGTATGTCAATTATTGTTTTTTTTGTAAGCCAATCATGAATGAATATCAAGTAATTATTTATTAAGGTGATCTGCTTTTTACGTTGCTTTTTAGCTTTTACTCAGCTTGTCTAAAACCAATTATTTTGATTTAGACATGTCCATTGTCACAGTATTTGGAGATCAACCATGTGCAAATACATAAGCTAAAAAAAAAAGCTGGCTCTGACTTTTACTTCAAAGTAATTTACTTATTTTTATACTTAATAAACAAGACTAATGCTGTTCTGAAGCAATAGGTGGCAAGACAGATGCTAGGTAGTTGTCACAGACCGCAGGAGCAACTTTATGTCTCTAGTTCAGTACTGAGACTGTTTTGTTTTGCAAAGTATTCAATAAAAAGCACTTTAATAGATCCATTCTACAACTGACTTACGTCCGGACTTTGTGTCGGCCAATGATGAACACTACTTTCCTGCTCCAAGGATTCACAAAACTGGACCAGCTGGTATCCAGTATGACATAATCCCCATTTTGTGTACAAAATCTAATAGGTAAATGTTCAAAAGGGGGTTGGCCAGCAAATTTCAGGACTGAAAAAAAGAAAAACCAAAAAAATCAAGGAACAAGATTTAGTTTACATTATGACACAGTAGTGCAAGCACAAATGCTAATGACTGGGGTCCTTTAAAACTTTGGGTTTGAATTTGTTTTGATCTCACACTGGTTGCTTCAATTCATTATTTTTGTCTAGACTGCAGATCAGCCACCTGTCAAACAATATTAATCATAATAATAACGAAAGAATGTGAAAACCAGTAGAAATTCCTCTTAAAGCAACTGTACTTACTTTTTTGGTGAATAGCAATCATCAAAGGACGATCTTCTGGGTGCAAATACATCAGTATGGAGGTTCCAATTAAATCTTGAGGTAAATAGCCCAACAAAGGCACTGCTCTGAAACGTGAAGACATTAGCACTGATTATATAGTTTTGAGTATTTACATCCTTAACTCTTTGCTTGTCAGTGAAGTCCCCATGAACAATCTACAATGACATGAACTAAGGCTACAGAACATTTCCCAGCCCATTTAATAATCCTCCAGTGCAACGCAGACGTGTAAATACCAAACATATCTGTGCCTGGAGATTTTCACATTGGCAGGCAGTTTTATGCTTGTCTATAAGCAAAAAAAAAAAAAAAAAAAAGGACCTTGAAGAAACAGGTCATAGACAAAATGACAGTAAGAAATCTGACAAGGATGCTGCGAAGTGTGTTATAAAAACACTCTTGTAGCTTTGCAGGCGACAGCATTAGTCTGGCCAAATTTATCTGACCCAGCTCAGTACAGTTGTATCTCCACACTGTGATCCCCAGAGCTTTGCATTGTATGGGTTTTCCACCGTCTGTTACCACAGGTCCCCATTGCCCTGGATAACGAAAACTGACTGCAGTTCTGTTTAATTCACATTTTAAGTCAACAAAGGCGATTATGTCCGTGGAGTTCTAGATGTTTTTCCATGACAGGACTAACATAAAACTACTTTGTTTAATTAACTATTGCCAACTGCACAGTTCAATTGCTTTACTTGAGTCTCCAGCTGCACCACCAACGGATTTTTTGCCACCTCTCCATACACACCCTCATAGGTCTTAAGATTCAAATCTCACCTGTCGTCTATCTCAAGAAAAACACAGCCAGGGGTGTGAGTGGTGGTGAAGATTCTTTTATCCATAGGAATTCGAGGAGCTAATGGAAAAAGAAATGTTTACTGAAACAAAATATGCACTAAGAGTGAAAATCTAGCTGTTACTTTTGCTCATGACAGAGAGTTAATGGCTCTTGAACTTTCTATTGTTCACTGCTTTCTGAGCAGTAACTCAGAAATTTGTAGGTGCTACAAACTTCTCTCAAAAATAAAAAGAGTGAGGAGGTGTCAAATGCTTTGGGGTCTTGCAAAGAAGGTACAGATGCTCTGGATTCGCATGCATGCACACACACAAACTGTAAGTTACACAAGTGAGACTACCCAAGCACAAGTTCTAAACAAAGGAAGCAGACTTTCATATACTGCATTTTCCTATCGGCTTGGTTTTTTTTCACTGGAGTGTCCTGACTTGCCTTCATATCCAGAGTGAATTTTCTCAGCCAAAGCTAAGCAGCAGGATTCTGCATCCACGTGAACAGAAGTGCACACATGGACCAAGTACGGGGTGATTCGGAAGGGGTAACAACGCATTTCTTGTTCTTGATCTTTACCACCCCTGAGGAAAAGTAAAAAAAAAACGATTAACGATAATGGGGTCAAGACTCAGATACTTCATGCCAGGGCTGAGCCCTGCAGAGAGAACTTACGCTGAGCACACCGACTCGGATAATCAGAACCTCCCGAGGTCCTACGCACACCCCCTTGCAATCCAAGACCAACATATTCAGCAATAATGATCTCACTCCCCTTAAAACCAAGTAGGTGTTTTGCCTGTAATACCTGCATTCAGAGGTTGTTCTATAAATGCCACTACCTTAACTGTTAAGACCACCTTCTAATTCATAATCTAAATGTATTCACAAGAACTACTCATTTGGCCTTGTGCTCTCCTTCAATTTAACCAGTTCTTCTTCTGTTTGTTGTTTATTCTGTACCATTTTTAGGGCAAGAAAAAAAAAAGCTGTCTCTCTCCAGTTTTATTTCACTGACCTAAATAAGTAAGACTCCTCCAGCCTCAATTAACAAATAGTTGTTCTTTGATTGTCCTCCTCCCATGAGGCTTTGTCTTCCTAGAGCATGTGTGTGCAGTAGCAGTGCACGACATTCTAGATGAGATCTTATCCAGGGCTTTGTAACAACTGCATTAGCAACTGCCTGTTTCTATTGCAAGTGTTTTTTCATCTGTTATAATTGCAGTGTCTTACCCAGCTCTGATCGAAAGAATTGAGATCAACTTTTGGACATTATTACTTACACTAAAAGGTACTTTCTTATTCCACACTTAGTTTTGTAAAATGTTTCTAGAGAGAAGTTAGTGTCATAAAAACTACTACTGATAGCTTCCCCTTTACAAAACAAAAAACAACTGGAAATTGGATATTAGCAGAAGTTTAATCCACAAAAAAAACCCAAACATTTTCATACTTAAGCCTAGCGTGTGTTTGTGAAGAAATCTTTTTACTCATGAAGCTCACATAATCAAAAGGATCTGCTACACATAGGAAGCAGAGATGTATGAAAATCTGAAGAAAAGCTATTGCAAAATGTTTACGTATCCTACAAACAGTTGCCCCAACTTAAAATTGGTATCTATCCTGCTATATTTATTCCAAGTGCCCTTACACAATTAAAGAGACAAAGGCGATTTCAGAGCTTGTTTTTTTGAAACACAGATGAATGAATCAGTGATCAATTGAAAGATGGAACAAGTATTGTATCTGCTCAGAAGCAAACAGTTCTTACTGAAATCAAGAGACCACCTCAGCCTGGAACAGAACGGCACTGAAGATTACAGTCCAATCTCAAATGTTTTTTCTTTTTCTTTTTTTAGCATTATGATAAGTCAGGCACAAAGCAACAAACTGCATCCACAGAGACTACAAGTAGTATCTCATGATTCAGCTCTTATACTGGGACTCAGGTGACTGAGTTTCTGTTACTGCCTCTGTCACAAACTCTACAGCAATCTTAAGCAAAACACCCTCTGCCTCCCCTCTCAAACTGTAAAAAGGGAGCAGTAATTCTTTTCACAAGATCATTCTCTTCCTACACAACAAGTACTAAAGGAAACCAATAGGTCCAAAAGAAACATGTACGAACAGTTTTCGTTCTATCCCTATGCAAGTTTAAGCATCACTATAGGAAAGTTATTCAAAATGTCCTTCTGGATGCCAATATTAAACACAATCAGCCGATTTTCTAATGGAGTGCCACAAGCTCACACTGGTCAGTTGTAACAACAGAACACTGTTTCTGACCAGTACTGTACCCTTTGACCAGCTTTCACAAACATAAAACTATAATAATGTACTAAAACTATAATAATGTACTTGCCTGATCCTGCAGAAAAAGGATTTCACCTGGGCATATTCATACAGAGAAGCTAATGAGAAGAACACACATTGAAAGTCTCAGTTAATATCCTTAAAAAGGTCACACTTATCAGAACTATTTTAAACTCTGCATTCTTGCTAAACTCTTCCATTGTAAACTCTTGCTCTGACTTTCTGAGCAAGACCAAAGTCACAAAACCTGCTCTTTATTAGCTACTGAATTAGCAGTTCGACAGCCTGCTCCCACCTCAAATGTTACCTCTCTTCTCCAGCCCGCTCACTCTTGGAGAAATGGCTGACCTGGAAACATGATCTAAAAAAACCTTTCCCAGTCCATCACTGTGGAAAGGAAAGGTGAAAATTCCTGGCTTTGTGAGCCAGGAATGTACCAAAAACTACATACAGCCAAGAGTTATGGGGAGAGGAAAATTCAGTAACAGTTTACAGCAAGAAAATAACAACTCCATAGGGGTGCCACTGCTCTGCTGGGCAAGCACATGACTGGCTTCCATGTTGGGAATCCCTGGCATGTTAGCGTTAGCAGCCTCCGATTGTCTCGTATCCTGTGTTAGCGAGGATTTTGGACTTCCCAGCTCTGATGCCAGAACAGCCCCATGGCTAGGTGGGCAAAAGACACAGCCTCGGCATGCGAGCTACATTTGAATTGCTCACAAATAACATTGGACTCAAAAGTCACCATTTAGGCACATCCAGCACTAAATAGCGAGTCAGCTTCAAACTTGGGTTCAGTGTGCTGTGTTCACAGCAGGCTGCAAGCGGACCATAAACACAAAGCACCTAAGCAAGGCTGAAATGTAGATTAAACAACTTTAAGCTCACAATTAGACTTTTAGTTTCTTTTTAAAAAGCAGCAGTATTTGGAATGAGTAAGATGGTACACAAAGCAATGAAGTATCTGCCTTTTACTTACCCCAAGTAACAGTTACACCTCTAGGAGACTAGCTAGGACTCTAGCTGCACAGCTACTCAATTTTTCAAAGTGGAAAGGGAACAAGTGCTGCCTATGTATATTGCTAGCATAAGCATTTAAAATGAATGACTGTTCTCATTCTGTGAAGACAGAAAGACACAGAAGGCATTTAAGAGCATTGCCAAGTCCCACCTCTTTGACTTTCCATGTTCCAAAGTGGCAGGTGGGACTGATCAGTGTGTGTGTAGAACACACTCACATCCTGAGGGACAAGCAGCTCTACAAACCGGGAGGAGTCCAACACTTTCTTCTTACAGTTTAGAATGGATGCTGCCTGCTCAGAAATATGCACTATGCGTCCCGAAAGCAAGGAAAACACAGCCACAAATGTGTCCTGGAAAACAAACATTGTTAAAGGCAATCCTCCCCCAACACATAGTAGCAATATTGTAAGGATAAAAAAAATCAAAACAAAATCAACCCCAAAATAAACAAACAAACCCCAAACCACCACACAGCACAACCTAAGACAGAGGTTAAAAAAATGTGCTCTTAAGTTAGCATCCAAGTAAAGCTGTGTGAGAGCTACTACAGTCTGCAATGCTATAGTAGCTTACTCATGATTTACAAATGCTAATAAGATTGCAATATCAAAAATGAAACAGATTACAGTGATGCTTGCCATCATCCAGAATGGCTGGTTATCACATTATCACACACACTTCTCCCCAGATTTCAGAGTATTGACCACAATTCCAGATACAAAAACATTCTGAGAACTTTTCAAGTAGAAGGCATTTGCAGTATATCTGATATAGCATGTAACATTACTGAATGTCAAGAAACACTCTTTTCTTTGAAGCACAGACAGAAATCATGACACATACTGCAAACCAAGACAAAAAAAGTTAAATCCAGGAGTACAAATAGAAACCAAAGTCCCTCACAACTATGGACTGATCAGCTTTGAAAACATCCTGCTAAGTCTGTCTCAAGAGATTACTATGCTGTAAATGAATTCTCAAGTAAAATTCTTGGAGGTATTTGTTGCTTCTGGCAAAAAAAGAAGAAAAAAAAGTATTTCTCCACTTTCTGCTGTTGGGTACCCTGAGTCAGCACAGATAAGAAGTAGTCTTGATCTACCTTTAAAAATATAAAGGCCTGCCTGGCTAGAACTTAAAGGCTTTTCAATTTTACACATCCTATTTCCACAAAACGACATAAGGAGACAAAATAGAAAGTGAAACAGCAAGTGATGAACTCCTTGAGCGTGCCTGAATTCCTTACAGTGTTTTTTGGAGTGTGTTCAGATGCAACTGTCACCAACTGTTCTACGCTGTAGGTCATCACATCTGTCTGAAACACTCTTCGGTCATTCAGAGCCTGGAAAAAGTCATTGTTTGCTAATTGAAAAAAAAAAAAAAACCAGGAAAAGCAAAACAAAACACAAAGAAGTCAGTAAGGAGACTATTTTGACAGTATTTCTTACAGCCCTTGTACTTTTGGCATCTTTTTTGGTGAAGTCCCAAGGTGAGATGAAGAAGGTCTGTGTAGCGACAAAGGAAAAAGGAATATCAATTATACTATTGGAGTGACCTATTTATGTTACAGAAAATGAGCATGAGGAAGTAGAAAGACAGAACATGATGGCAAAAGAACAATTTTAGCTACTTAATTCTGTTGGAAAACATAAGACTATCCAATCATTTTTCAGAGTGGGACAGGAATGCTGTTTTTTCAATATACACAGAAAGTTATTAGTAGGCATCTATTAGCTATAGGATTCTGAAGAAAAGAAAAGCAGTAGGCAGGCATTTCAATAGAAAAGGTAACATGATTATTTAAAAGAAACAAACCCACAGTGCTTCAGAAAGCCAGTTGTTTGCAGGATAACTGGAATGCTTTCATTTGTTTTAATGTTATTTGTTGCCAGACACGTCTATTCAAACCAAGCTGCTGTATAGCTTCTACAGTTCCAGATTTTTTTCCACACATACCTTGCACCTGTTGGACACACTGCAAAGCATAATTGAGAGCACTGATGGTACTGGGCTTGCTTGAACTCCTTTTCTCTTCAGGCAAACACCTTTTCATTTCTTGGATCATCATCATCAGATCTCTGTGGGACTGGCACCAGTTCAGCTGCTCACTGTAAAACAAAGGTTAAACTTTACCAGAGACTTCTGGTAGAGTAGCGTCTTTTCTGTCAATTAATTAAAATTATTCCCTAAATTAACATTTTAATGGGCTTGGCTGCAGAGTTACAGAATATCCAGAAATGTCCTAATGATCATTCACTATATTTCCTCATTGTACCTTTCTCATTTCTTTGCTACTTAATCTTTTCTCCTCTCCCTTCCTCCTTTCCAACTCCCAACATGTCACGGATGGCAAAGTCACATCATAACCAGTCCACTTGCTAAAGATGACTAGCAACTAAAAATAAACTGATGTTTACTTTAGATCTTCTAAACCTCACTGGTATTAAAGTCATGAATAGATGCTGATTCTTTATGCATGTAACTCTTTCTAGCCTTGAAGTCTGCATCTGATTATAAGCACTTCAGGGAAACGTGAGGTCCTCAAAATACACCTGATGCAAAGATTTCATTTCCTCACGTGACTCGGGAGTCTTCATTATACTTTTAACAGAGTCCTTGGCCTCAACAGCTACAAAGTTCTTAACAAGCAAAATCTCCCTCTTCTTACTTTTCCTTATTTCACTGACTGAAAAAATAAGCAGTCAATATCCTCAAAACAACCGGTCCTGGGCTGCCCCCAAAGCTGTGTGGCCAGCAGGGCGAGGGAGGGGGTTCTGCCCCTTCTGCCCCACTCTGGGGAGACCCCCCTGCAGTGCTGCATCCAGCTCTGGAGCCCTCAGCACAGGAGAGACATGGACCTGCTGGAGCGGGGCCAAAGGAGGCCCCAGCAACGCTCCGAGGGCTGGAACAGCTCTGCTGGGAGGACAGGCTGGGAGAGCTGGGGGGGCTCAGCCTGGAGCAGAGAAGGCTCCGGGGAGACCTTCCTGCAGCTGCCAGGGCTGAGAGGGGCTGATAAGAAAGGTGGGGACTGACTTTTTAGCAGGGCTTGTAGCAACGGGACAAGGGGTAACGGTTTTAAACTAAAAGAGGGCAGATTTCAACTAGATAAAAGGAAGATATTTTTTATAATAAGGGTGGTAAAACCCTGGCCCAGGTTGCCCAGAGAGGTGGTAGATGCTCCATCCCTGAAAACATTCCAAGTCACGTTGGATGGGGCTCTGAGCAACCTGCTCTAGCTCTTCAACTAGAGGACAGTGATGTCCCTGCTCATGGCAGGGGGGTTGGACTAGATGGCCTGTAAAGTTCCCTTCCAACCCGAAGATTCTATGATTCTATGAGGTATGAACACCAGTATTTTAAATAACTTTTGTCCATTTGGCATTTTTATTAGTATCATACTCTTACTATATAAATCACTAAATAAGTTCAAGTATTGCATGTTAACTTTACGTATTAGTTCAACATTGCATAAATAGTAGCTATTGAACTGCTTTTTTTTGTTTTAATTAAAAAAAGAAATTAGCACACCACTGAATTACTGAACTTTTTGGAAAAATATTACTTAAGTAATTTTTGCTTTACCACTGCTAAATACAGTCTTTAGATTAAGTATATATAGAAGCCACAAAAGGGTCAATGACGTATCTGGATGAGCCAATCTAAGAATTAGGCAAACAGCTTATAAGGAACCATGCAGCAGCAATCTAATCTACATGTGAGGCCATTGTAAACATCACGGTTTGTGATTCAGGCAAGCTTCCTTGGTGTACTGAAGTAAAAAGAGCTCCGAGAAGAACTCTGGATCACAACTACACTGGGTTCTTGATTCTGACTTTAGCTCTCTGCTTAAGTTAAGCACATCAAGGAATAGGACAAG